TCCGCCGTGTCGTCCTCCATCGCATCGACCCGCTATCCATGCCATTCGAGCATAGGTATAAACCCTAGGGCCTTTGTGTCGTCGCCGTGGTCACTGTGACCGCCATTGCTACCGCCAAGCTTGCGCTCACCGTGGCCGTGCTTCTTTGAGCTCTCTCACACTCCCTCTTCTCTCGTTAGGAGTAGCTTAGCAATAGGTCTTACTCACGCCGCTGGCCTTGGGCCAATGCCGGCATGTCGGCGCCGGAACGCGGCTTCCCTCCACCGTGCTCTCACCGCCGCATGACCTTGAATGTGGCCGGACCACACCGTCGCTCCACCGTTGCCCTACCCTCACCCTAGATCTCCGCTACGTCACCACGAAGCCATAGCCGAGCTCGCCTGAGTACGCAATGGCCGAAGATGGCCAGACCGCCACCATGCAACGCCGCTGTCCGCCATTAGTGCTGCCGTCGTAGCCAACCGCCATTAGAGGTTCAACCACCTAGCTCTCTGGATGCGGAATGAGGTGAGGAACCTAGTAGTAGTGGTTCCATCGCCGAAGACCTCGCCGTCAGTGAGCTCTCGCCGGTCAACCGCCGCCCCTGCCTCGGTATGGATGACGTGTGGGACCGAGTTGACCGTGGGACCCACATGTCAGCGCCTCCGGGTGCAGTGCGTCGGGTGCGCGTAGCATTTAAACGATTTTTATGTTTTCTGTAAATGATTTCCAGATTTTGATGCAAACTTCAAAAAATTATATCTAGAGCTAGGAGTGTCCAAATTGAGTGAAACAAATTTTGTTAGATTCATCTTGATTAGTACCATCTGCTAAAAATATGAAACTTGTTAAGCGCCGCAGTTTTATACCCTGTTTAAATTATTTTGTTTATTCCTATTAATCTTGAAAATGCATAACTTAAGTTTGGGAAATGCTAAAAATGTGATTCCAATTTTGTTGATCATGTTTTGACCTGCTATAGTTAAGAAAAATATGAAACCTACAATTAACATGCTTGAGATATGATTTCTTATTTTGGCTTAATTAAATGCTAGTTCTTGTGAAATTAATTGTGGTACATGTATGTGACCTATGGACATGAAATAATTTCTACAGTGTTATGGTAGTATAAGGAATGTAAGAAAAATATTAAATCTATTGCTTGACACTTTTCACTATGCTAAGTATATTTAAGTGGCTATAAAGCATGTAATTTGTCATTTTTGTAGAGGCTTCTATACTTATACAAATGTCATGAAATTTTAACAGTAGTCTCTTGAGGGCATGTATGAGCTACTATATTTTTTCTAGAATTTTCTGTGTACTAGAAGTAGCAGTTCCAATTGTAACCTAGCTATGCTTAGCGAATCAATAAATGCTTTTAAGCAACTGTTAGGGCTTGACCATGATACTTTTTGACATGTTGATAATGAGTATAATCTGTTGATACAGTTGGTTGTGACTAATTTTGATTGAGCGTATGCAGTTATATATTTATTGCTCTATAATTCAATTGCATCTAGTTCTTGAATTGTTTGCTTAGTATTAGCATGATGCTTGTTAAATTAGATGATTAGGCTAATTAAAATAAGGTGTTAGCTGTAGGTGATAGACATCTTAATGATGATTAACAACTCTATCTTAGGTTGCTAGAACATGGTGAGTGTATGTTGCTTTGCTAGAGAGGAGATATGCACCTACTTAGTGAACTAAAAGTTATCTACTAAAGAAGAGATATACGCTTACTCAAATAAAGCAATCTTGCCATCATCTTGTTATGTTATTACTAAAATGTATCTGCATTTTGTCATACCATACTTGCACTTCATCCCTTGTGCATTTGCTATATTTATCTATACCTTCATACATATAGGATCGCCAGAGGGAATAACACTTCTGGAATTCGAGGCGGTGGGAGAGGAGGACCAGCAGGAGACCTAGTAGCAGGAAGTTGCAGAAGGCGAAGAACATGTTCTGGAAGATTTACCTGAGTGCCCAGACCATAAGCCCTCATCTTACTTGAAAGGCAAGCCCCGGAGCATTCTAAGCCTCCTATGTTTTACAAATATCCACTTGAGTACTTTTATGTTTGATGCATTAGGTTATAGGAGTTGATTAGAAACACTTGATGCATATAATTTCCTTGTTCAGAATTATACCTTGAACCCTATATAGGTCCAGGATCGAATATATGCTTAGCCATGCTTAGCTTGGTAGAAGTCGGGTGATTTCCTGTCACCTGCGAGATGTAGGTGGATGTCTGGTCACGGTTGGCTATATTTGCTATCGTGGAAAAGAACCATGTGATGAGGTAAATGGAGGCCAGGCGGAGTCTAGGTTGTAGATTAACACTTGTGACTCCGTCTGAGCCGCTTAAGGACCGCAGCGTTGGAGGTCCTCTTGTTATTTGAACGCATGCCTCTCACTTAGCTGGCCGGATAACTCGTTCCGACCGCGAAGCCGAGTAGCTCAACTCAGGCCAGGTCCCATTCTGTGAAAGTGCGCACTATGGATGGTAGTAAGGATGTGCGGGGAGCCAAACATGAGCCCAAGGGCAGGCTAGGCCTGACCGTCCTGGCAGCTGGTTGTCCCTGGTTGTGCGGCGCTGATTGAACCCGCGAAATATGTACCTGAGTTGTACCAAATATGACCTAAGACTACCTTGGTATAGGTATGTCTGGGTTTGTGTTAGGAATACTGCTCAGCTGGTTGCAATCGATTAGAATCGACGTCTCTCCCAGATAGTGAGAAACTTGACGGAGCCCCTTCATCGTAGTAACTTGATGGAATGTGATGGTTATGAGGAACGTGCAAATATTACACCAGTATGTTTACTATTGTTTGCTTCATCTTAAATCAAGTGATTGCTCTAGTATAGGTGCCAACCTAGACATGCTTAATTTTAGTAGGTATAACTTGTTGCTAGAATAACTGATCAGATCAAAATATATATTACTTCCGCTTTTATGCAAAATGTTGTCGAGCCAGCTCCACTTATAAAGGCTTGCATGATCCATGGTGTCCCTTTATTTTTTGTTTATGACGAGTAAGTCTAGCTGAGTACCTTCTCGTACTCAGGGTTTATTTCCCACTTGTTGCAGATGGTACTGTATACCATGGGTACTGCAAGAATTGCTTCTCCCGCCGTGGACGAGTAAGGCCGCTAGCAAGGCTCTTCTATGTGGTCTTACCTATGATGCTTTTGTTGGACTCGATCACGAACTGGTATGTATTTGAACAAGTGTGTGTAATGATGGTTTTAAAACTACATTGCTTCCGCTACAACATTTGAACTTGGGTTATAATAACTCTTTTCGTACTCCGATATGTTGAACTACTTGTGAACTTATGTAACATGTGGCTTGTATGTTGAATCATGTACGATCTTGGTTATATGTTGGATTATTCGAGATCCTTCGTGATACTCGACGGACTACCGGGTTTATATGGGTTCAAGTATGACAGTGCGATCGCTCCGGTGGTTGTCATTGTACTTGTGCTCTTATAAATTGGTCGGTTCTGCCACAGAAACCTTCTATGTAATAAGTGCTACCTGTACCAGGATCGAACTATTCCAATTCAGACAAGAAAACACGAACACGGCAAGAGGCCTGTCCTCTGCTCGTTCTCCGTCCTAGATACCGTGTTGTGCGATCTCACGTTGCCGGCGATCACCGGCGGCCACGTGGCGTTACAATCTTAGTCTATTAAAATTGCTTCATCCTAAGAAAAACTAACCTTGGAACTTCTACAAAAGCACACTAAAGCAATTACTTAGGGCCATCATACGAACATGTCCTTGACCTTGAAGGCTTTTACAAAGAACTACCTAGAGAAACATGCTAAGCAAATTCATCATTAACTCTGTAAGAAACATAGACCCTAGCAAGGGTTTAGTGATTCTAGTGGTTGATTGACCATTGAGACTAACAATATTTGTGAAGATCGAGAAATCAACATGTCAAAAACAGAGTTGTAAGCATTGCACTAGCTCTAAATATTTTATTTAGGATTATCGTGTCCCAATCTATCTTTATAATTTTTCTTAGATTTCTTTATAGGCTTAAAGACATTTTTCATGGTTTAAAAACCTTACCATGTCTTTGTCGGATTTTTTTTCAATTAGAAAATGACAAAAACCACTTTGAAACCCATTTCTGACCGTGAGGCCACTTAAATGGTTTTACGAGTATAGGGAGGTAGTCTTACCTGGTTTTTTAGCTCAAGAAGAAAACCTATATTACGATGATAGTTCAGGGGAGGAAAAGATAATTTTGTATTTATGAATGTTGTCAGAGTCCGCCTGGAGATGCCGAATTGACGATGTTCCACATCCCTGTTGACAAGACGAGCCCCTCACTGACAAAGCGATGCGGTTGCAGCCCGAGGTGTACGACGGAGATCGAGACAAGCGCCCTGTTCGACTATTCGTTTGGGGTTTCTCAAATAACAAATTAGCCGACAGTTCTTTCAGCCATGACTTATCAGCCAAACGAACAGAGCAAAGAAAAAGAACCAGAGGAAGAGCAACTTCAACAGCTCTAAAAATCTAGATCCAAAAATCAGGTATTGGAGGCTCTAAAAAAAATGCTGACACAAGAAAGAAATGTAGCGATCAGCTGACGTTCAATCTGTCTGGAAGTGGCCGGTGCGCTGATGCACGTGCTGATTGCGTACAGAGTACCAAATGAACAATTCTCAGCATACGAAGATTAGAGGCTTCATCACACTGAAGCTAATACAAATCAGCGACCACAAGCCACAAGGACCAGCAATAGTAGACTAAGGATTTCATAGGATGTTTCAACACCATAAGAAACTACTCTACATGATATACATAATAGCATGGGGGCATATACACAAAATCGGACGGGCCAAGGTTCAACCCACTCCATCCCCATCTACAATGATCTGAACCTAGATAATACTCCTACCAAGCATGCCCTCAACAACATACTTGACACTACCAAAGTATCCAGGACATAACGTCAGTTATACACATCAGGAATTCATGGCAATAATCACTTAAACAACATCTTGAGATGCTCAATGCGAGCGCCACGAATTTCCTCATCAGTGAGCGCCCCAGAAACCATCCTCTGCTTGCGCATTTGGACCTGTTGCATCCGCTCCTCGACAGTGTCCTATAACGAAGACAACACAGCATTTGAGATTTCAGTATCCTGGGACAGTGAACAAATGACGCCCCTCAAGAGGATAGAGAAGCCATCACTTACCTTGACGATGAAGCGTTTGACTCGGACCTCTCTTTTCTGCCCAATACGGTGAATTCTCATGATAGCCTGCTCTTCCACAGCTGGATTCCACCATGGATCCTGTATATCAGCAAAATGTAAGTGCCAACACATCAACATGACCAACTAGTTGATGTCAAGATAACTAAGTTGTACTGGATTGACAGGGTGCAGTATAATTACCATCAGAAAAACATTGGAGGCAGCAGTTAGATTTAGCCCTACACCTCCAGCTTTTAGTGACATCATTAGCACCTATTTTTCATACCACATACTCAGTATGCATCAAGAAAAAAATGAACTTATGCGGAAAGGAAAATAAGAGCATGATTATAAATTGCTCAGGCATACCAGCTTGTCCTGACTTTCACTGAACTCTTTCAGAATTTTTTCTTTATGCTTCTGGCTCAGCTTGCCATCAAACCTCAAGAACTTGATACCCTTCTGATTGAAGGGGATCTCCAGAAGATCAAAGAAAGAAGTAAACTGGCTGAATACAATGCTCTTCTCCTTTTTCTTCTGAAGGCTCTGCAGCATCATTATAAGTTTGCTCACTTTGCACGAGTCCTTCCAGTTATTTTTGGCATCAACCTGGAAACGACACTGAGCAGGCAATATGATCAGGTCAGATTTGCTGATGTGGCTTCTACATAGTGGGCATGGCCCTCCATCTGGAGTCCTCCAGCTAGAAAGAAGGCATTCACGGCACATCCGGTGTGCACAAGGCGTGAGTACTGGATCATCTGAAGCTGACTCAAGACAGATAGGGCACTCGGTAGTAGCACCCTGGCGAATTTCCTCAACAACCTCTTCTACATAAGCACGTGAGGGCACTACATTCTGTCTTCCAGAAAAACTCTGCACTCCTTCAAGGAATTGCTGTGCTACCTGATCGAGGTCAGCATACTTTCCAGGGTCAGCTCGGCTGCACATTAAAGATTTGGTAAACAGATTAGACGATAAAAATCATGAAATGTAAGAATTAGAACATTTTCTTGAAATGCATAGCTAACCTGATAACTAGAAAAGGGTGGTCGCAGCACTGCCTTAGTCGGAGAAGTAGCTCAAGAATATTAGCATAATTGTTCAGAACACTGCCTTGTGCCACAAATTTGTCAAATTGAACCTGGTGGAGGTACACATGCAAGAAATTTAATTCATGAAATTTCACAAACAAATGATATGCAGAAGCACAATTCAGTGAAGTTTGACAAAGATAAACAAGAATCCTCTTGGTACCACATCAGTTAAGCAACAAACATACTAGCATCTACAGTTCCATGTTGTAGCTCCACCAGTTAACAGCAAGCCAAATATTGAAAACTAATATACAAATCCATCTTGTATCAATGAAAAAGCAAAAACATAAATATACCTTTGATCTCCTGAAAAGCGCTTCATAGAAATCACGTTCATGTTCAGATTGTTCACATTCTACAACTTCAATATGAGCTGGAGGTAGAACCAGTATGGGACTGAAGCAAAAATTTGAGCATTGTGAGGCATTATATATGCTTATTTATGCAATTGTGAACTTTGAAAAACAAAATACATACTTTCCAATCTTGTCTTTTGTTTCCTTGGTCCTCCTTAGCATTAGTGGCCTAAGAATAGCTCTAACAAGTTTCAATCCTCTATCATCACCATTCTCATAAGGTTTCTGAATCAGCTTCTGCCACCTAGAGAGATCAGCAAAATCGTCCTAAGTAAGGATTTTTTTAAAAAAACAAAGGAAGCAGTTGAAGACTGTAGAGGTCAACATGGGTTTCAACTAAGCAGTTGGCTTTTATCCATACCATTTTGCATTGCACCATGGCTCAACACGTAGGAAGCAGAGAAGACTGTAGAGATCCTCCAAATTATTCTGCAAAAAATGAGATACTGAGTTAGCTTCACCAGAAATTGAAAAGCTTTAGATCATCTTTTTCCATTACTGTCAGTTTACAAGCTGCCAGTTCAACTGAAAGTACTGAAAACCAAACATGAATGTCAATGGTGAAAACATACTTGCAATGGCGTGCCTGTAAGGCACCATCTGCATTCTGAGTTTAATCTATAAGCTGCTTGGGCACTTTTAGTTTTAGGAGATTTGATTGTGTGAGCTTCATCAAGCACAATCCTATACCAATCCATCCTGTGAAAAATGCTGTTGTAATCCTGTTAAGGATAACCTTTTCATTAGTTAAAGTTGTGATGACCTTGTTACTTCCAAAAAACATTGCCAAAAAAAAATGGACAAGGAGTGCAAATGCCAAACACATACAGTTTTGCATGCAGCTGAGAGGACACCATAGGTTGTTAAAACGACATCATGTTGAGCCATCAGCATGAGGCTACTAGTTTTATCACCACCATAATGCACAAACACAGAAAGAGCTCCTTGTGCGGAATGTGCCTCCAACTCATCCTGTGAGGAAGGACAATATGGGTGTAATTATTTTTCTTGTGTGATCAAGTTTATTGCAGAAACTAAAAGAATTATTAAGTTGGTTCAAGATGCAGTGCATGAACAACAGGATAAGAGTGAAAATTTTGCAGTGACATTCAAATATTCTGTCATTGATTACAAAGAAATAAAAAGCTTACTAATGACAATTGCTTCAATAGTAAATCACGATGCTAACCTTCCATTGACCCAATAATGACTGAGGGCAAACAATAAGGGTACCTCCCCTAACAGAGGATGTTGAGGTGTGTGCTCTGGTCGCACGATCTCTGAGACACCTCGTGTCTCTTTCTAACTCCCCCCTGGGATTGGAAAGTATCAGAGCAATGGTCATCACAGTTTTGCCAAGACCCATTGCGTCTGCTAGTATCTGCAAATACAGAGTTAACACATAAATATGTTTCATAATACACCATTTAATCACAACCCAATTAGGAATCATTTATAATCATGTAACTGAACAAAATTGAAGGAACCATTCTGTGAGGATTGAGTTTATGTTAGCACCAGAGTGCTGAGCATTATGCTTTAACATGAATAAACCAACATTTGCCACAAAACATCAGAGTGCAAGCAAAACTATGAACTTATAGCAGCAAAATCCTCTGTGCAGAAGCAAATCCCATGTTATTTATTGTTAAAATATCTAACTGGCAGCATAACATAGCATAACTGTTAAGGGGCAGGATACATCAGGGGAAATGGAACAGCAAGACCTTTGGGAATACTATGCAAAGAAAGCACATGACCACAGTTTAAAACAAACTTACCCCTCCTCTTGCAGTCTCAGTTACACTTGGAAATTGTGTTGTTGCTTGACCAGTAAAAAGATTGACATACACTGGAGGAGCTCTCCTGCAAACAACGGTTTTCATAGTTATTGCCATAATCCAGTCAACATTTCTGTGCTTTGTAAAAAAGACACTGAATAGAGCATACTTGTCTGCAATATTGTAGGCACTCCAACACGGATTAAGAGTTTTTGTTTCTTCATTTGCATCAATTCCCTTCTCCAATTTAGACATCCAGAAGAGAGCTTGTTTTTGGTATGGTTTTAGAACAGAGACAAGGGTAGTGGGAGGCTCCGCTTCCTGTTTTACAGTTATGTAACCAAATATTTACAACAGTTCAAGTTTTCGCAAAATATTAGGGCAGCATGAGTAAACATTCAAACAATTCCACAAGCTTCTATTGTTACCTCTAAGTCAAATGTTTCAGCAGTGCCAACAAGTTTGTTCAAGGCAGCCTCTGAAATAGCCTGCTCATCAGCACCTTGCTCGAGAAATGTTTGGCCAAGCACAGGAGTAGAATCATCACTGCTATTATTGTTCCCCTGATCCATTTATCAGAAAACAAAAATAATAGCAAGAATCAACACATAGAACAAGGCAACCGATCACAATGCCAAGAAAGAAAGTATTATAGTACAAGAAAAGGCAATAACTTTCTGCAGTGCTTTTTCCAAAAAAAAAATACTACACTGCTGTAAAATAAACACAACAGTAGGTATACTTCATTGGGGAAGTACCCAATTATAGATGCTACAGTATATGGACACATACTGAAAAACTTGTAACAGTAAAAACAGCAAGAGGGCTTGTTGCTTACCCTTAGAATTTGCTTCAGCTTTCTAGTGGTGAGGTCACCAAGAGAGAAAGCATCCTGCACATGATGGGCATATCAACATTTATGGGAAAAAAAAACAAGAACATTGAAATAGTGTTTCTGTGAGGGAGAATAAACCAAAATAAGCACAAGGCGGCTAAAAAGTAGATGAGCAGAACAGGGTGATTGTAAAATTTACAAAAAGAATCAATCAATGAGCTACCTTGTTGGATGGCTTGAGGTTGAGCAAATTAAGCAATTTATGAAGAGGACTGGGAGAGAAATCAACATTTGCATGATCGAGCATGTCACAGGGTGAGTTGTCCATTTCGGCAAGCACAGATTTGTGGATGTAGAAGCTGCACAGATAAATTTCAGCATCAGTACAAACTGGCAAATCTCAGTAACTTGCTGAATAGTAAAACAACAAGCACGTATCATTATCAAACATTACCTAACATAGAGCAAAATCTCCTGCATCAGCCTCAGCTCCATTGTTGGGAACACGAGCTTCCCCTGAATCTTCACCTTGGAAGAGTTGACAAGCGGGACAAGGCATTGCGTCCACTCTGGGGACAGCTTCCCAATCTACAAACAACATCAGGGAGAATGAGACATGACCAAACTATAGCAAATTTGAACAAAGAATTCATTCGCAGAAAAAACATTCAAGAGTAAACATGCATCACAAAGATGATTTGAGTAACAACCTCTCCGGCTCGTTTGGTGGAGAAGCGAACAATCTGTGCCAGAGCCGCCGCCTTCCTGGCTGTCATCTTTAACCCGCCATAAATCTTGTCGTACGAAGGGAAGGCGAAATGGACGATCTCCCCGGCGTCCAACCTCCTCCTCCCACGGTTGGTGGACAGCCCGGGCACATAGGACTTGCCGACGAGCATCCAGTCGCGCTCCACAGGAAGTCACCAAACTCGGCGTCCGGCGGCGCCACCACCATCCTCATGTCCGTTACCGGGGCAGGCGAAGCCGCCCTGAGGGGCCGCGGCCGCGACCGCTGCTCGTACATCTCGACGTCGACGGGCGACGGCGCAGGAAGGGCGGACCTGCGGTCGTGCATCTGGACTTCCAGGGGCGGCACCATCTGGATAGGCTTGGGGTCGTACACCTCCCCATCCCCACCCACGGGTGGCAGCGCCCGGATGGGCCGCGGGTTGAGGTACGGCACCGGGTGGGTGGTGGTGAGGTTGATGGTCTCCACCTCCTCCCTCGGCCTCTTCTTCTGCCGTGGGACGAGGCTTATGCCGGCGCCGCCGCTCGCCGCCACCACAGGCGCGCCTACCCTGGGCGCGTCGGGGACGGATCGGTCCGGTTTCTTGGCGGACGAGTTGGTCGGCTCGCTCTTCACCTTGGCGGTGGCCTTCGCGGCGGAGGAGCCATCAGATTCTTGGCTCCCCACGACCTCGCCGTCGACGGACTCGGCCTTCACCTTGACAGCTACCGGCGACACGACCTCGCCGTCGATGGACTCGGCCTTCACCTTGACAGCTGCTGGCGCCGGCACCGGAACACCACCAACATCGAGCTCGGCCTTGATCCGCTTGGGAGCGGAACCCACCTCGGCGGCGTCGCCGGCGTCGTCGAGGAGCGCGTTGATGGCGCGCTCGGCGTTGCCCCCGCAACGGGAGAGCGCGGCGATGACGCGGGCCTCGGAGAGGCCCCCGCCCAGGACGGCGCGGACGGCGGCGATCTCGTCGGCGAAGAGGACGGCCTGCGACGGGGACTCCTGCCAGCCGGAGTCGTCGTCGGCGATGGAGACCAGCATGGCTGCTACACCGGCGCGGCGAGGGCGAGGCGGGGGAGTAGAGGTGGGCGGGAGGGCGGAGGCAGAAGTTGGAGGCGGGGAGCCGGGAGGGCGCCGCGAGGGGGAGAGGTTTGGGGGCGGAGGGAAATGGTGGACTGGTGGGTTTTGGTGGGGGTTTTAAGTGCATTTTTTCTTTTTCGGCGGGGAAGGGAGGGAGGGAGGGAGGGAGATGGGCGCGCTGTGTTGGATTTTTGGCGGGGGAGGGAAAATCTGCAAGTGGGGCGGTCAAATTTTGTGGACTCCAGCGGTGAAAAAAAAAATTACTCTCTAGCGGTGAAAAGGTGAAAGGGACGGGTGCGCGCGCGCGCACGGGCGTCTGTGCTCCGGGCCCATCACTCCCCCGTGCTCCTCACCGGTTGGATGATGGCGCGGTGGGCGGTGGTGGCTGAGCCGCTTCCGATTTCGTCATGTCTAATCTAAAAAATTATGAACGTACCAAGATCTAAATAAATATTGAAAAAATATATAACCACACGAGTATCTACATATAAATAAAAAAAAAAAAAAGAAATATAGTCATGTGAGAAGGGAGAGACGGTGAGAGCACATTTGAGAGAGAAAAAGACGAGATATGGTCGTCGTCGACTCATCTCGGAGAATGCCTAGCTTCTGTCTAACTCATTGTCGTTTGCGCATGGAGGAGATGTTGCCCTGCACGGTGAAGATCCACCACTGTCGCTCATCTTCCTCGATAGATCCAGCCCTGGTCGCTAGATCTCGTGCCCTCCTTGATGGATCCAACCATGGCCTCCGGATCGCGCTCCTCTATTGCACCCGGGTCGGCGCTCAAGATCCCCATGACCGCGACTCCTCCGTGTAAGAAAAATGGCACCAAACAAGGGTCTTGACAACATGATAAAATGGACTAGCTTGGTTTGCTAATATATAAGGTTTTAGTTTATTTGGATGCAAAGATGGCTTGAACAAATGCAACATTAAGGTCAAGTGATCAACACATCAACTAAGGCCATGGAGAAGCATTGAAGACCTTAGAAAACTTGCATAAAGTCCAAGACATCAAGAAGGTGAAGCCCAGAAGAAAAGACGCGAAGAAACAAGTCAAAAATGCACAAATACCTTTAGCAGAAAGCTCTGATAGTCTCTAAAGTCAAGCACCAAAGAATAGGGTGTGCAGTACACAAAGAAGTAGGAAGCGTCAAAGTCATCGGAGTTTAGGAACATGCTACATTGTTTCTGCAAAAGGTTTTCATAGACACCAGAAACTCCGGTGGTACAAGGAGTGAGTCACCGGAGAGTAAGTTAGCGTCCAGAGACTCTGCAGAAAGGTTCAGAGGACACCAATTTCCTCTAGTGACCACTGCAAAGGAAGCACCAAAGAAAAGGCCCACTAGCGGTCAACAACGGCTAGCCTAACAACTAGTACAAAGGATCATCGAAATTTCTAGTAATGTCTGCAAATGTGCAGATCAGTCACAACGGCTATATTTCGGATAAGAGGCTATATACCCCCTTTGGCCAGTTATTGGAGTTGCTAGAGTTTGCTAGAGCTACAGAAGAATTGAGGCTCCATTTCAAGTGCTATAGACACCAGAAGTGCTTAAAGAATTACTAGGTGGTTAGCGTAGCGCTTTTGTGAAGTGCTTAAACTAATTAGACCACCTTATTAGTGCTTTGCTCTGTGCTTAGGCTTAGTGTTTAGTGAGGTTTGCATATCTTTTTGCCGCTTGGTGCTTCGGTGTACCATTTTTTATACTAGGGGCTTGTAATCTTGCGAGAACACACTAACCATATTCATGGTGTGGCCAAAAACTCGATAGTGAAGACAAGGGGTAGTCTGAGAGATAGCCCTACAGAGACCCGTTTGCGTATGGGGAAGGCCTTTGGGCTCCATGAAGTTACCCGACCGAGAACTTGGCCTTTGCAAGGGGCTCCAATGAGAACTATAGGGAAGCGTGAGCTTCTCGGTACATGGAAAAATACCATTGTTAATAGGAGTTTGCATCTCTATCTGGTTTAAGCTTCAATATTGAATGTGTGCTTTACATTCCTAGTCTACTTTGCTAGGTTATCGATAGGATTGAAATGCAAAGTTCTTTCATGACAGAGATAGCAACACTAGGAAAAATCTAGTTGTTTTTTTATAGAAATCGTGCATAGGTTTTGTTAAGTAGAAAATAGAGGCCAAGTAGTTTTCAAGTTGCCTAAATTCACAACCTCTCGTAGGCGTCACGGTCCCTTCACTCTACTCCCTAGCCGCCGCCGCTTTGGTACAAGGGAAGGGAGGGGAGGAGAGCATTGGACAAAGGAGATCTCGCCAGAGGGAGGAGAGTACAAGAGAAAATTGAGAGGGGTGCGCCATGGATTCACGATTGACTCATGGAGAGAGAAGATCGGTAGGCGGTGGTTGGAACTTGGGACCGAAAGGGTGTGGATTAGGGTTATAGATGGGATCGTCGGCTAAGCCTCGGTTAACAGAGACATGCCTATTAATAGGTCCACCTCTAAAAATTGTATTCATTTTCAAAGGCAGACAATTGATTTAGGAGATCATATTTGTTGGGTTCTCTCTAAGAATTATAAGACCGCCTCTAAAAGTTATGGAGCATTTTGAGACAGGGATACTATTTGTCTGCCTTTGAAAATCAAACCTAAAATTGTTTTTTCAATAGTGCGAATGTGTACTTTTGAATTGCGTTGAATCTCAAAATGTGGCGACCATAGTTGTATATCACCGAGAGGCGAGGGCAATGCTTGAAAGGAGGTCGGCATGCCATTGGTTGTGTTTGTGCCAGGGGAAAATCTTGTCATCAGAGTCCCGGTGACCTGAAACGACACCAAATAGGTGAGAGCTGGCCAGACGAGCATGGTATGGTCCAAATCCCTCCTCTAAACGGCAAACACTACCACACATATACCGGAATATAACTGCAGACAAGGTGTCTCTTTTCTTTAGATAAAAAATCAGACTTGCTAGCGTCTGGACGTCCGATCCGGGGCGCTAGCGTCTGAACGGCAGTAGCTGTGAGCGAGCGCCCTAGTGCGTCGGGCTCGCGAGCGAACGCCCCAGCAGCGGGCCCGTGCATCCCCGTGCGTCGCCCACGCCGCGCCGAACGTCGCCCGCGCCGCCAGCTTCTTCCCACACGCATCCCCATGTGCAACACCCGATCTACTTTTAAAACATCCAGATCCAACAAGTTGCAACATATAAAAAAGACAGATGATACACTTGTGAAAACGCCTCAAAACACTTGAAAACCATTGCAAACATATGCAATATTCAGATGAAATGCTTGCAAACATATGTATGAAACACCTGAAAGACTTGAAACATATGCTTGCAACATGCATTTATATGCAATATCTAGATCTACTTTTACAACATCCAGATAAAACACTTTGCAACATACGTTTGGAATAGATGAATATTTGGAACATACACTTGAAATATACGTGTATAGCCATTACAACATGTGCAACATCTCGATCTACTTTTGCAACATCGATATACAACACTTGCAACATACATCTGAAACACCTGAAATACTTGAAACATACTATTGCAACATGCGATTTTGGTGCAACATCTACTTGCTGCTTGACGAATGGAAGCTCGTCGACGCGGAGCTCAACGCCGGCGCGAAGCTCGATGTCGCGGTGGTCGCTAGTGCCGTAGTGCGGAGCTTATCGGCGGCACGGATCTGGGCAGCGCAGAGCTCGCTGGCAACAAGTGGCTCGCCGGCGGCAGCACGCGCAGAGCTGTGACGACGCGTGGATCGATGTCCGCGGCACGGAGCTCACTGGCAACACAGGGCTCTCTGGCGGTAGCGCGCGCAGAGCTTGCCGGCGGCACACAGAGAGCGGGTGGGTATGGCCGTGACACGCACGGGGCGGGTGGGTGCACGAGTTCGAGACGGGGAGGCGTTGCTCTCCCTGTTGCCTTGAAGGAGAGACGTAGGAGAGCGAGAAACGAGATGGAACCAGAGGGGATAAGTCTAAGTGGCCAGATATTTATGTGACGGAAAAAAACGTGGACCACGTAGTCTCCGGCGTCTAGGTGTGGTACGGACGCGTGGTGGAGCGTTTCCGTGAAAAAAAAAACTTAGACAACGGTCATTTTGTGTATCAAACACTGGGTGCTCCGGTGCCAAGAGAGGTCACGCAGCACCGATGATGCCTCACGCGTTCACGCGCATTTGGGTGCTTGGGCATTTGCTGTTTCCATACAATCCTCTAACCCGGTAACGTAAGCGGAGAAGCAGATTTGTTTTGACATCGTAGCTTTTGATTTGACTGCCAGTTTGGTGTATAAATCTCACCGGTATTTGGGGTTTCACAGACCGACCACATTACACTTTGAGCAAAACAAGCAGGTTACGGATTATGCATAAAGAAAGAAGTAATAAATGAACTCAAGGTATAGGTTCCATGCGAATTGCGAGTGCTGAACGTGTGACGTACGAGAGACAATAGCCCCGTTCGCCTCGTTGAAATTTGGCTGAATTGGCTGGAAAATACTATTCTGGCTGAATTGTTGTGAGAGAAAAACATAATGTTTCTGTTGAAAAAATAAGCTAAATAGTACAGATTATAAGGTAAGCCGAACAGGGCCAATGTCGGCTGTTCCACGCTGCTTCCCTGCTTCCCATGCTCTTTGCAGCCGTGGTCGCATCATCGGCGGCGACGGTGGGAGACACAGTGAGAGCAAGGCTAGACGATGAACAGGAGGAGAAGCCAACCATCTATCTCGTTTCTGTGCACGGCGAGCCACCATTGGCTGTGGCGGGAGTTGGCCGAACGCGACATGGTACCGAGCACAGAAGCGGAGGGCGGCGGGCTCCATGACCGGCTCCTCCAGGGCGCCATGGACGACGGCGGCGGCGCCGGAGGTTCAGGTTCGTGCTGCTGCCGGAAGATCTACAGCTTCCACCACTCCGTCAACGGGTTCGCTGTCCACGCGACCGCCTCGCTGGCCGAGTGGCTGGGGGCGGCGCGGGAGGTGG